TCTCTCTCTCTCTCTCTCTCACACACACACACACACCCCCCCATCACTCCCCCATGACATTACACTTATATCTATATGTATACACACACACATATATCTCTCTCTAGAGATATATATACACATATAGATACATACATACACACATATTTATATATCTATATCTATTTAGATTGTAAACTAAAAACTTTGAAAGTCAGCATATGAGGAAGAAACATCCTCCTCCCCTCAAATATTCTCAATATTTCCAATAAAGTATTTTCCCAATGCTCCCAAACATATCAGGGTCTTCCTCAGGCAAACGTGGGAGAACATACTACTACCACTTTAATATGTACCATGTTCAATCCAATTCCCTTCAGTAACGAAAGGAAGGGAACATAGTAGCACAGGAAATTGAGCAAGAGAAAGATTTGCAGCACATTTTGTTTCACCTAAACCAGTTTTCCATGCTTACCTAAATAATTAGTCTTTGTACACAGAATCCGGTAGGAAAAGTAGTGGATATTAGAGTCCCAAGGCCGCTCAAATTAATGCTGGTGGGCCTCAAAATGATGTTAGAATAAGGGAAATGCAGACATCTTGCATATCTTTTCACCCCATGTCACTGCTTTACCAAGCACAGAAACAGAGGAATACAAAAATTGGGGTCTATGTTTCCCAAACCATTAACATTTTATTTATAGGCAGACATGTGATTTGATGTCTGAATTTTCAAAGAGCAGAACTGAATAAAATGGACATTGGCTCTGGTTACTGAAATTACTATTTTAACGCTTTGACAATGTGAAGTCCTAACAAATAATTCTCAGGGCTTCATCTGAGATGGGGAAAATCAAGAGTAAGAAGTAGAGGTGATTTTTTTTAGTTGAAAATAGCAGTAAGGTATCCAAGTATAATGATCTTCAGTAAGAGTTAGGCTAGTGACAGAAATTACACAAACTAGTTTAGTGATCAGAAACTGGTTTGAACCTGTAACAGAACAGCAGTTCAGTGCACATAGGCACCCCCACCTGCTGACCTGGATCAGTGCAGGCCTCTCCCTGCCTTTCCCCAGTTGAAAACTGAACGTTAGTTCAGTTTGTTATTGGTTCAATCTACACAGCTTGAAGGAAGCTGCCTAGACTGAATTGCTTCAATGTTGTATCCAAATCATCCAGACCACCTATACTTCTTCCCTTACAATTTATGTCAACAGTTCCCTCAAATAACATCCATTTGTGCCACACTATCAAATTAAGGGCCATATCCTGACTACTACTGTGGGGAACTGCTGGAAAAGAAGATACTTTTTGTATCTTCCTTCCCTCCGGTATAGACAAGGTATCCACAAAGGCAACAGCATGGTTTCTTGAGCACAGGATAATGAAGTGGCTGGAGTGGGACAACTGACATTGCTGTACTTCCCCCAAGTTTTGCCTGCAGGTTGCTGCTAGAAAGAACACATGTTGCATCTTTTTAGAAAAAGTGGTTGTACCTACCGGTTCTGAGTATGCAGCTCAGCCCCCCGCCCCCCAGAAGCATTACACCTCTATCTGACAGAGGCTTAACACCTGAGCCAACACCACTCCAGCCATGCACAAGCTGTGAGCAGGCATAACACATCTTTTATCATTGCCTTTCCCTCTGACAGAGGTCATATAAAGGTAAGAGGAGCAAATACCAGAGTGTTTTAGAGGCTGCAGGATGGCCAGGTTTAGCTCTTTCAATGGAATGTTGATTTATTCACACACAGGAAAAAGCCTACTGCACAGCAAGAAGCCATTTGTAACGTACTGGGAAAAGGCTTTGAATCTGCCTTAAAATTGTAGTCCATTCCTGCCCATTGACTAATTTTCTACTCACCATTTCAGTTAGACTAAAAAATAAATTTTTATCTGATACCAGAAATTCAACTGATGCCAAACAAATAAATAAAAGAGCCCTTTGCCAAACTATCACAAACAACATTGCTTCCCTGGACACATGCTTGCACTGAAGTTTAGAGGTTCAAACAAGTATAAAGAACAGCACTTCAAGGTTTTGGTTTCATCTTTCTGTCTTCATTAACTGAAAACACCAAGCTTCTGATCATGCTAGCAATTTTCACTAGCTCTGGAATGTGCAGCACACGAGTGTCTCAATACAGTATTTCCTTATTCCCTAAAAATATATGAGAAGAGAGGAACTCGTAACTAATGTAAAGGGAGCTGCAGTTCCATGTGACACCATATCAGCATCCACTTGATGCTGGATCCAGCAGCTCAAGGGAAAGCCAAAACACTAGCTCTGGACAATGTCACAGCTAAAAGTGTTGACCTATGAAATTTGAAATTGATGCCTTACCTATTTATCCAGGACCCTGCTGGCAATGATGTCCCCTATAATTAAAAGCCAGAAGCAGTATCTTTTCCCCACTAATTCTTAGATCTACAGGCATGATACCTCATTAATAGCAAGCTGTTCTCCTCCTCCTCCAGGGTGGCCATAGCGGTGATTGGAACTCCGGAAGTCCTCATATAGATCTTCCTCACTTCCCACATCATCTGTAAGAGCTGTCTTATCCAGTGGCCCATCAGTGATCACTGTAACAACAACACATGACTGGGTAAATGAGGCTGCTGACCACAGACATGAATAACAGCAGATAGGAAAAAATATTGATTTTGGGCTTTACAATAGGTTTATTTTAAGATATTCATATTTCATATTATTTTGCTTATATTATTTTACTTTTGCATGATCAAAAGGTGTCAAACATTGCTAGAAGTCAAGCATGAAGGCAACAGGTATGGCAAAGAGAACAACAGCACTGCATATATGGCTTAGGGATCACCTGTGTTGTGACAGGGTGGTTGAACGCGCATGTCTATTCAATCCCACCTCACTATGGCCAGACTCCACAAACACAGACCCATAAGTTCATCTTTGCACATGCAAACACTCCCATAGAGATCAGTGGGTCTGATCCCTGAACATGTGCTTAGTGACATCCATATGTTTGCAGAATCAGGGAATAAATGAACAAATCAAAAGCTGCAAAAGAAGTCTCAGCCACTATCATGTTAGTGAAAAAACAAATCCTCTTCTAATTTTTGCAAGCAATGTATACAGTTGACCCAACAAATAAGTAAGTAAAGGAAAGACAAACCAGTGTTTGGATTGCGGTATAAATCCTGAGCGGTTTAAGCTGTTTCATCTTTGAAACGTACTTTTGGTATAAACTTCCAGGATTTGAATTTATTACCAATTTTTTACTTTGTTTTGATAACCATGGTTTGTACAGTGCAACTGCCAGGTGATTTATTGTCATTTATGGTGTATTAGATCATCACAAAGTAACACTGGCATCCTTCAAGGTAATCTTATGCTTCAAGAGTTTGTCTGGAAAGCTCACAATTCAGACGAGAGAAAATTATCTTCATCTACCATACAGTGCATTATGAAATGCCAGTTAGGTACCACCAGCTATTTCCTATTCCTATTTTCACAGTTTTGTGGGTCACATTCTACTCTGAGAAAATGGACATGCTCTAGATATTCATTCACATAAAGGAGACTGAAATCTGGTGCTATGGGCTTATTTCCAAACATATAAAGCTAAATCCTCAGTGGAGTCTGCTGATCGACACCGGCAAGGACCTAGGCTCTATATTCTTTTTTATATTATGGTATACTCTACTGCTGTTTGGCTCCATACAGACAATTAGGAAAACATATCCCTTGCCTCTAAGAGTCTACATATGTAGTCACAGGGTGCCAATCAAGGCAAAATTGGGCCCTACAATAAGGATTCAACTTATCCATTAGCTTTTTCCAGAGACAGATCTGGGAAGTCCCTCTTTTTTTTGCTCCTTTGTGTAAAACAGTAATGTTTTCCAATTAATCAAGTACTTTGTATTTATAAAGGCTGTGCCACCCAATTAGGCAGACAGGTTTAATTTTAAGAAAACACCAGACTAAACCAGCACACTTCACAGAAAAAAATGGGGTTTTATTTTTTTGGTTGTTCATTTTATGGCCTGAACAATTCCAGGAAGCTTTAAAATGGATTAGTAACCAAGGAACAGAAAATAAGAAAAGGATATAAAAGAAATATTTATTCCTTCAGAAAGAGCCCCATTTTCCCAAGCTTTCCATCTTCATCCTTTGAAGATTAGAACTGAGAAACAAAGCAAGAATATTGGTTCTGGAGACTGGCCTGTGGAGTGTATGCTCTCCTCATGACGTTGTGACATGAATATTGTTCTCTACTGACACAGACATATCATGAAGCAACACAAGAATACACCAGGCCTGAATGTGGCATTCTTGACTATTAATCTTGTGAAATCAGCTGATTAATAGGGCAATGAAAATGGTGAGGGGACTGGGACACATGACTTCTGAAGAGAAGCTGAGGGAACTGAGTTTATTTAGTCTGCAGAAGAGGTGACTGAGAGGGGATTTAATTGCAACCTTCAGCTACCTGAAGTGGGGTTCAAAAGAGGATGGAGCTAGACTGTTCTCAATGGTGGCAGATGACACAACAAGGGGCAATGGTCTCAAGTTGCAGCAAGAGAAGTTTGGGTTAGATATTAGGGAAAACCAGACAAGGAGGGTAGTAAAGGACTCACAGGTTACTGAGAGAGGTGGTGGAATCTCCATCCTTGGAGGTTTTTAAGACCTGGTAGACAAAGCTTTGGCTGGGATGACCTAGTTGAGAGTGGTCCTGCTTTGATCAGGGGGTTGGAGTAGATGACTTCCTGAGGTCCCTTCCAGCCCTAATTTTCTATGATTCCGCTTTATTTTAAACTCATATAATTGAAGGCATTTTAAAACTTTTGACAAGTTGACAAATTCTTTGCCTAGATCCAATGCCTTTACAATGTATTTTACATGAAGTGCTTAATAACACTTTGGATTTCAGCATGTGCTTGTCTTTGAATATCCACTACTACCAACATCCAGATTAAGTTGTCCATGAATGAAGCCAAACCTTTGAGAAGGCTATCTTCTCCCATTAAATAAAACAAGTGCTGAAATCCTAAACCCAGTTCTGAGATCATTGGAAAACACTGAGAGGATATCATAACAGCATAAAAATTACATTTATGCTTCTCACACACAAAGAAAAAGTTACCAATCTGCTTTAGAGAACAGAATTATTAATTATAAGACCCTCAAAGGTTAAGTTTTATTTTATTAGTTTGTTTTTACCAAATACATTTCAGCCTCAAGTACTGTGTCCTGACCACTTACATATATATCCCATGTATTTGAAAGATAATACATTCATGTTTTCTGATTCTTTAACTCAGATTATTTCATTTACCTGATGCTCTGATAAGGCAACATTGCTTTTATTTGAACAAATACTGATTGGCATTTTTATTCTGATTAGCAACTGCTGGTAGAATAAAAACTAGACAGTTTATAAAACAAAGAAGCATACCCCAATGATCTTTAAATCTGAAAAAATGTAAGGGAGATGAGACAATGAAGACATCAAAGGCTATGCAGAAAAAATCATACCTGATAGAAGAATAATTTAATGGATCTAATGTTATTGCTAGAACTGAATGAAATTAAGAAAAAGAGATCACCATCTGGACTTCAGTAGCACTCTTACTGACTGCACTACAGATAACATCATATTCAACTAAATTTCCTCTGCTCTGGCTTAAGGTCCTTTCTCTTAGTCCTTTCCTCTATGGCTACAGAGAAAAGCACATCTCCATCCTCTCTATAATGAGGTATTTGAAGGCTTTAATCAAAATCTGCCTCAGTCTTCTCTTCTCCACACTAAATACCTCTAGTTTTTCAGTCTTTCCTCACAAGTCTTGCTTCCTAGGTTCCTAATCATTTTTTTGTTGCTCTGTGCTGGCCTCTCTCCACTTGGTCCCCATCCTTCTTGAAGTGTGAGGCCCAAAACTGGACCTAGTACTCTAGGTGAGGCATGATACCTTGATACCCACTTGATACCTCCTCCCAACAAAACACTGAGCCATCAAAGACTACTAGCTGAGCAAAATGATCCAACCAGTTATGTATCCACCCTACTTTCATTCAGTCTGTATTTCTTAGCTGGTTACTGTCACTGTTACAGGAGACAGTACCAAAAGCCTCGCTAAAGGCAAGATATATCGCAACCAGTATTATCCCTGTATCCACAGAACCTGTCACTTTATCATAGAAGGAAATCACATTGGTCAGGTATGACTTGCGGTTGGTGAATCCATGCTGGCTCTCCTGATCACCTTATTCCCCTCTAGGTGTTTCACAACGCATTTCTTGAGGACTTACTCTATGATCATCCCAAATTACCTGAAGCACAAGCCATGATTAGGTATGCTACAGAACAAGAGAGAATCCTTCCCCCACTGAGGTCAACGGCAAAACTCTCATTAATGGGGCAGGGTCAGTTCCAAGGATTTCAGTCCAATGCATTGCTTTGAATGAGGCCAAGTCACACGTAGTGCATATAGGTAAATAGGTCTAAAAGGTGAGGGTTTAGCCACACCATTGAAAGCACAATCCTTCAGTCTTTGATGTCACTGGCCAAGCCGCCAATGGTTTTAGTGATGCAGTATCTTCAGCTAGTGTGCATGGTTGTAACCCAGGGAAGTCAATGGAGCTATACCAATCTACACCAGCTGAGGATCTGGTCCTACAATTGCCAGGCAATACTCCAGAAATGCAGTCCTTTATTACCCATGCAGGGATGTGCAGTTGCTGTGGCAAAAATAGCAGCACAGATTGTTTCAGTGGGGTAGACCTCAGCAGCCTTACCTGAGGTCCTGGGGGCCTCCTGGGACAGTGTCAGCAGCAATCCAGCAGCTCAGAGCCTAACTGGCAGCCAGAGTATTTCTGGCAGTGCACACTGCTGCCACATGCACCATGCCACTTTATGAAGTAGGTGTTTTGTTTTGTTTTTTTTAACCCCAGGATCTTCCATTGTCAAATTTTGGTGCTATGCTGCAAATTCCAGTGCAGTGAATGGGTGCACGTGTACCATGCGCAGTTTGCAGCACCACAACCACACATGCGCACTCATCGGGACACACCCACAAAGACCACAACACCTGTTGCAGCACCAGTCTGTCAATGCTTCTGTTGTACAGCATGTTTTGTCAGGATTTCATAACAGTCATTTCTATTTATGTAGCATGAAAATTCATTATTTTAGTTGTCAGAAAAACATTTATTCTACCTCAAAATGACTGAAGCATGTATCAGACCCAAATGAAGTATCTTGATTATTCACTCTTTGAATGAAAATGTATTGACTTTCATACATAATTGCAACAGGACAAAGATCTATTGATTATCTGCACTTGAATCTTCAAATACTATCAATAGAAATTATATGCATGGGGAGATTACACCCTTATGACTGAAGTAGAGCTTGCTGGAGAAATATTTAACTGGCCAAGCATTTGACATTTTAAAATATGTTTGATAAAAACCATCATAGTCCCATTATGACATTGCCATTTTTTTTTAATATGTAACCTACAAGCTCCCTGTTGAATGTACTCCAATAACACATGCTGCCTTAACAGCAGTTCTGGGATTGAGATACAGCATACCACATGTAAAAACT